TGGGTTAACTAATTAAATTGGGTAAATTTCAATAAAAAAAATTAAATTGGGTAAATAAAAATTAATTGTTAACATATGTACAAAATATATATATATATAAATAAATTTTTTTTTATACGGATCCCCACGGGGGTGGAGGAAATTCCCTGCGAAATTTCACGGGTAAAAAATTACCTCCATCCCCGCCCCATGGGTAAAAATATTCTTAGAATCTCCATCCCGTGACGGGTATCTCCACGGAGCTCCGCGAATCGCGGAGAAAATTGCCATCCTTAGACATGACTCACGTTGGTAGCGTACGTGAGTGAATATTTCCCATTATTAATTTTACCGGCAAGATATTAATCGGCATGGAAGTCACAAATAGTGTTGCTGATGGGACGTTACCAACCTGCATCAAGCTGCCAAATGAGTAATCCTCAAAATTAAATTAATACTTTTCACCAACGTATTAAATGTTGGTACAAAAAATTTTTGAGAAAAAAAAATTATTAATTCTTAAACGAATATATATTTATTCAATTCAATTTATTTATTATCAAATAAAACTTATTTTATAACTCTCAATATTATAAAAATACATATAATATTAACATTTTCCAATAAAACAAAAATTATTCAATTTATTAGCTCAAACTAATAATTAGAGCATAATTTGAAAAAATATTAATAAAGTAAATGTAAGATATAATTTAATAATATAATAGAAAAATTACTTGCATTAAAAATTTGACATTTATAGAACACCATTCCTAAAAAGATGATAAAATATAGATTAATTTAATATTTACATATTAATTCAACAAAAAATACAATCAAAATATAATTAAATTGAAATTTTATGGTACATAAATAAAATTTATTTACCTAATATTTATCTCCTAATAATGTTTCCTACAAAACAACATCAAAAAAGAATTAGAACTCCAAATAAATTGATCAATAGTGCCAATTAATGTTTAATCAATTAGGAGTAAAAAATAGAAGAGGAACAGATATGAGATTGAGAAGAATTAAAACAAAAATAACCTTAATATACTGTAATTATAAAAAAAAATAAAATTCATTAACCTTTGATACATAGAGAGGAAGGAGGAGAGACAGACAAGGGAAAAGCAGAAAGAAGAAGAAGAAGAAGAGGAAGAAGAAGAAGAAAGAAGAGAAAAAATGAGTGGAGTATGCAAGACTGGAGTATAGAAAGGGTAATTACTAATGTAAGGTATGTCGGTAATAAATTACTGACATAATACACATTGGTAATTAAGGGCTTTGAGCGGACAGTCGAAAACCCAAAAAATTTCAATTCCCACCTCAATTACTGACAAGATTCAAGTTGGTAAGGGAAAATGAAAAAATTGTCATTTTCTGCACCTTTCACTGACGAAGTCCATGTTGGCACTATATTTAAATACCGACTACGATCCTGTTGGAAATTAGTTTACTAACATGATGTAGGTCGGTAAAGAAAACCATTTTACATCATCCCAGCAGCCACGCCAATTTCCAGATTTCATTCCCTTTTAATGCCAGTTTCCAAATTTATTCAATAGGTTTCGTGTATTTTGTTGTATTTAGTGAACATAAATTTTAAAAAAATTTTGGCAGAGTTTCCCCATAAATATTATCAAAGCCAAATTTTTTTAAACTTGCATTTGCATTAAAAAACATATATTCTACAATTTTACCATACTAAAATCAATTACACCTTTTCAAACACAACCACAAAAGATGAACCGCATACCATTTTATTAATTACCTATGATATTCAATTTATAATAATTAATCCCCAAAACAATCCAAAACTTTATATTTTTTAAAGTATGAATATTGGAGATCAAGCAAAATATGAAAAGATATCGCAATGAAGCTCAAACTAGTAGTTAAAAGTATTAACAGAAATAAAAAGACAACCATGCAAAGTGTGCAGACAATGTATCAAAAAGCATAACTAAGAAGCTTGATAGTTTTGATCAAAACAAGATGGTAAACGCCATCTTGAGGCTGAGGCTAAGGCTACTGCTGCTGCTGATATCTAGGCAATATGGGAGAAGTTTGGGTGGAATCAGTGGAGTAGGTGAAGGGTGTATTTGGGTGGAGACTTGAGCCCTGGCTATGTGGTGAGGCAAATGGATGATGACCTGCTTGAGGGTTGATGCCATAAGCAGTGAAAGCTGCTGCAACAGATTGTGCAATCGTTTGGCTCATGTTATTTTGAGCTTGTGTCATCTAGGCTAACTATTACTGCATCAGAGCCATTTGCTGATGTTACCTTTCTAACTATTCTTGTTGTTTCGCCACAACCTCATCTTGTTTTGTCGCATGCTCATTCTGGCGTGCTTGCTCCTCGACAAAGCCAGCTATCATCATTGTAGCCATTAAGTTGTCTCGGGGTTGTCTCTTCCTATAAGTAAATCCAACATCCTCTAGATTTACTTGTGACCCAATTCCTGGCATGAAATTGGAAGAGCAACCTCCAACAGCATTGCCCCATGCCTAGTGATCTATGCATAGCCACAAACTAACATCAAGGCCATGGGTCTCCGTGCACTCTGTGACATAAGCATCCTAAAAACCAAAAATATATATGATAATAATAATAATAATATTATTATTATTATTAAAAGTAATTTCAAAAGAATATATAAAAAAATACTTTGGTAAATAATTTTAGATTAATTAAATAAATTATTTCAACACATATAAGAATAAATTTTCTGATAATTTATACTTTATATATACTTACATATCGATGCTTTGCTTTTTCATTTATCCACACCGGGTCTTGGTTCTTTGGCACCTTCTTTCTAAATGTGTGTGTCTCCTAGAATTTCTCTTGATGGGAAGGTTGCACACCACCTCTAAATTCAGTCTGTATTTCAAAATATTTACAATGCAATATACTGGTTAGTTGAAATTAACACATAATTTATTATTAAATAAAATTTAATATATATTTGTTATTAATTATGCATAATTACCATCCGCATCTCGTGGATGCCAAAGCTAATAAACCTAGTGGTGTGAGTCACCTTTTCTCCAAAGTTCCTACTCTTTGGCCCCCCTTTCACTGAGTGTCTTGAATTCTTCCGACTTCCAATATTCTTGCATCTGAGACCATATATGAGCTGGGATCCAACATGGAGCATAAGTTGGGTCCTCGTCCCACTTTATCCTCTCATCTCTAATATTATCACTCCATCTATGTTTCATGCAATTTAAGAATGCCTTCAGTACATGGCCATTATTTGCAGCAAGCCATTGTAAAATGTCTACAAAATAAAAAATAAATAACATTAGATTTGTTACAAATAAAAATTATAGTTTAGTAATTAAATAATTTATTTTTATTACATAAATTGTTAAATCCATTAATTTTATTAGATTTGCTAAAATTAAATCTTACTTTGAAAAGGTTGTACATTTCAGTGATCTTCCTTTCGGGGACACGCTCATATGTGAAATATAGGCCATCATAACATGACTTCCATAAGGGAGTGATAGCTTGGGGTATGCCTGGATCAGCAAATTGCAGCTTATCATGAGTTAGATGAGACCATTTCCTAGCCTCTTGATTCTATGGAGGTCGTAGGCTTTTCAAATTCCTACCACATCTTTTTTTGGCCTTTGAGGATGAAGAGCCCTCACCATTATGGTCAGATGTAAAATGATCCACATCCTCCATCATCAGATTACGTATCATTTGCTCTTCATCAATTTTGGCTCGAACATCAATAAACAACTATGGCTGATCACGACTATGTCACCCTTGGGAACTTGAAGAGGAAGATCTCTTCCTTGCCAAACTTGTAGGATTACCAAACATCCTGAAAAAGGAGAAACAAAATAGTTGTTAATACATATATAAAAATAATGAATAATAAATTTAAATTTAGAACAATCATACAATGATACTATTTTAAATGAAAAAATATAACTTGATAAAAAAATACATATAAGGCAAAGATATTTTAATACATATATTTAATGAGTAATAATATAAATTATATTAATTACAAATGTTTCAATCAATCATCACTATCATCATCCTCCTCATCATCGACACTATCATTATTTCCCGAGGTTTCTAAATCTTTTGCTTCTTCATTACCCTCCTCTTCTTCTGATGTATCAAGATTAACCTCAATCTCTGTAACACCTATTGCATGTAGTTGGAGTAATTGGTATGCAATTAAATCTATAACCAATGAAATGCTTTGCGTTGTGGGGGGTTCATCATGTTGAACAATGTCATCAATCTCTACTGAAGATGAGGCAGATGAGGTGTCAATTAGATGCCTAGATTTTATTTTACATGCTGCTAACCATCCTTGAGTAGTTCTGTCCATGGTTGGATATGGAGTGTAATAAACTTGTTGTGCCTCACTAGTAAGGCAAATGGCTCTCCTGTTGAAAGTTTGTAACTCAGATTGACATCAATAATTCCGTGTTCAACATCCACGCGTATTCCTCGTTCCGTGTGATACCAATCACAATTGAACAAGACTACAGTCTCTCGTTGGCCTGATTGTCCGTAATACAATAACTTAATTAGCTCTTTCAAAACACCATAATAATCAGCTTCATCTGCAGAATTAATGGTGGTTCCTTTAACACAAACACCACAATTATATGTCTCTCTAGTACTAGTAAACTTTTCAATCAAAAATCTAAAGCCGTTGACGTAGAATCCATTATAAACATTCGCTTGAAAATTTTGGCCAATTGCAAGGTGGATAAGTTCTTCGTTGATTTCATATTCTCCACTAAATACCTATACATGAAACATTTTTAATTTATTAATATTTAATAATTAATTATAAATTTGAAAAAATAGTATGTAATAATTTGTTACCATGTTTTTAAACCATTGAACAAAATTATTTGTTCATGCTCTTTGTAGTTGTTCATCGGTCATATTGGCACTAACTTCTTCCTCAAATTTTCTAAAAAATATTAGTTATTTATCAATTAAGATAGCAATTGAAATTATCTTGACTGTTATGTTATAAGAAGGAGCAAAACTTACGTTACCTAAACATCAACCTCCTTGCAATTTAACAAGACATATAGTTCAGTTGCATCTTTCTCCTCCAATGTTAAACATCATGTGACTCTGCACCTATTAACTTACCAAGGCAAGAAAATACAGATAACTGACCTGGTACGTTGCTTCCAGAGCCACTATAGTTCCTTGGCAACTGATTCTAGTTTGTCTCAACATCATCCCCAAACTAACAAGAGCAAAAATGTGTTGTCTCGTATGATATAATTGCCTCGACAATCGATGCCTCTACATGATTTTTATTTCCTATGGTCATCTTAAGTTTGCGCATGCACTTGAAAGAGGATAATAATAAAATTAATATAAAAAATTAATCAATTGTTAGTTTTAATATGTTCAATTTCTTTATATGTCTTACCTTTCAAATGGATACATCCAACGATATTGAACAAGACCACCAACTCTCGCTTCATATGGAAGATGAATTGCAAGGTGCTCCATAGAATCAAAGAATGCTGGGGGGGAATATAATTTCTAACTTACAAATTGTCTCAACAATCTTTGTCTCCCACTTTTCCATCTTGTTAGGTCTAATGACCGGAGAACAAAGTGAACAAAAGAAGTTACTAATATCAATCAAAGGACCCCAAACAACAGATGGCAATAAACCACAAAAAGCAATTAGAATTAGTTGTTGCATGAAAACATGACAATCATGACTTTTCATCCTGAATAACTTTGACTCATTCAAGTTGACACATCTTGATATGTTAAAAGCATATCCATTTGGAAAGCACAACTATTTCAACCATGCACATAGAAGCACTTTTTTCTTTGAGGAAAGTGCATAAGTGGCATTAGGCTTCACATGCTTACCAAGCCATCATATGTCATGTGCAATTTTTTTCGGTCACAATAAATGGCTAAATCCAATCTTGCTTTTACATTGTCTTTTGTCATATTGTCATTCATAACTATGTGTATTATATTATCAAAGAAATTTTTCTCACAGTGCATCACATCAAAATTATGTCTAAGAAAATTATCTTGCCAATAAGGAAGTTCCCAAAAAATGCACTTTTTCACCTAATTGTGAGTGTTTCCAAAACCCTCAATTGTTTGGTTTTCAAAGGGTTTCCCAAACAACACATCAGGAAGGTTTTCAAGTCGGTAACGCATTGAAGCACCATCCAATCAAGGAGGGGGGCTACCAAATTCAACCTAACCCTCAAAAAATTAGTTTAATCAAATCTAAAAGGATATGATTGGGGTAAAAACTGGCAATGACAATAAAAAAAGATGGTTTCCAACCATTTTTAAGATAGAAAGATTATGTCATCTCCATACAATATGGACAAAACAACTGGCCATGAGTGCTCCAACCAGCCACCATACCATAACCCGGAAAATCAGTTATAGTCCACATTAGCATAGCACGCATTATGAAGTTTTGCTTACGGTAACTATTATATGTTTCCACACCAGTTGACCATAACATTTTCAAATCTTGAATTAAATTTTCAAAACTTGAATTAAAAGTCGAAGGAATACATCAATATTTTTACCTAGGCTTTTGGATCTGCAATGACTAATGTAAGAAATGTAAACCCTGACCGCATGCACATCTCTGGCAGCAAGTTATAAACAGCCAAAAAAACTGGCCAACAAGAGTAGTGGATTGAATGACTTCAAGGGTTGAAACCATCAGTGGCAAGACCTAATCAAACATTATGAGGTTCTCTTTTGAAAGAAGAATGCATTCAATCAAAATGTCTTCATGCTTCTGATTGTGCAGGATGAATGACCTCATCTGTATCACCACAACATTTCAGATGCCATGTCATGTGCTTAGGTGTTTTTCAAGACACGCATAGCCTATGAAGGTGAGGCACTATTGGCAAATACCAAAGAGAATTCCTTCGAATGTTCTTTTGTCTTTTCCTCCTTGGATTTCTCTGTTTGTACCTCGTTTCTCCACAAATCAAACATGTAGTCAATATCTTTGTATGCTTCCCATAGTATAAAAAGTAGTTGTTAACACAAGCATCAATTTTCAAATAACCCAACCCAAGCCTTTTCATAAATTTTTTTGCTTCATAAAAGTTTTTAGGAACTTTTTCCTGATCTTCAGCACTTAACAACCTCCTACATCCTTTCATGATGGCATTAAAACCACCACCAGTTATATTATTCGCAGTCTTTCATGTGCAACATATAGGAGAGCCAGCTAAGCAATGTCTCATGTCTCTCAGAATTGCCGACCGGTATTGTAGATGCATGAAGCAAGTCATAAAATGCCTTAGCTTGATTATTTGGTTCCTCATCTAGATGTTGGTTAGGGAAATTACCTTCTATTTCCCGATAATTGTCATCCTCTGGAAAAAATGCATCATACACCATTTCACGGAAGTCATTCCAATCATCATGGTATGCATCTTGACTTTGCGATGATTCGTCTAAATTACCAACAGACCATAGATTTGCTGAATTCACAAATGTCTTACCATGTGCCCACCAAATAGAATAAGCATTCATAAAACCATTCTCAATAAGATGTTCCCGTACCATTTCTCGAGTCATCAATGATATTAAAGCATTTAGTACAAGGACATCTAATTAAATCATTTGATCCAAGACCAAGCCTACTGTATGCAAATTGAAGGAAATATTCAACTCCATGGTAAAATTCATCATATATTTCTCCTCGAGAAGTTCGACATCTATACATCTAACTACGATGATCCATAATCTTATTAAATTAATGACACAAAAATAACATGATTAGTCTCAAAACAATTATCATATCTTTTATATATTTTATAATTCATTTACTAATTAAGCTAATATAAAACCATGTTAAATTCACTCATTGAGAAGATATTTCATAACCAATTTTTATTTATTAAAAAATAAATATTTAACTATACAATTATAATAGCATAGTGAAAATAAAACTTACTGTGTATTGAGGATCCTCAAGGCAAAATATTAACCTACAAAATAGTTATTAAATTATTA